TGTGTTGCCTGCGCGTGCATGTGTCTGTCTGTGTGCCGCGCGTGCATGTGTCTGTGGTGCTGTGCGCGTGCATGTGTCTGTGTGCCTGCGCGTGCATGTGTCTGTGTGCCTGCGCGTGCATGTGTCTGTGTGCGCTGCGCGTGCATGTGTCTGTGTGCCTGCGCGTGCATGTGTCTGTGTGCTGCGCGTGCATGTGTCTGTGTGTGCGGTGCGCGCCGTGCATGTGTCTGTGTGCCTGCGCGTGCATGTGGTCTGTGTGCTGCGCGTGCATGTGTCTGTGTGCCTGCGCGTGCATGTGTCTGTGTGCCTGCGCGTGCATGTGTCTGTGTGCGTGCGCGTGCATGTGTCTGTGTGCCTGCGCGTGCATGTGTCTGTGTGCCTGCGCGTGCATGTGTCTGTGTGCCTGCGCGTGCATGTGTCTGTGTGCCTGCGCGTGCATGTGTCTGTGTGCCTGCGCGTGCATGTGTCTGTGTGCCTGCGCGTGCATGTGTCTGTGTGCCTGCGCGTGCATGTGTCTGTGTGCCTGCGCGTGCATGTGTCTGTGTGCCTGCGCGTGCATGTGTCTGTGTGCCTGCGCGTGCATGTGTCTGTGTGCCTGCGCGTGCATGTGTCTGTGTGCGTGCGCGTGCATGTGTCTGTGTGCCTGCGCGTGCATGTGTCTGTGTGCCTGCGCGTGCATGTGTCTGTGTGCGTGCGCGTGCATGTGTCTGTGTGCGTGCGCGTGCATGTGTCTGTGTGCGTGCGCGTGCATGTGTCTGTGTGCGTGCGCGTGCATGTGTCTGTGTGCGTGCGCGTGCATGTGTCTGTGTGCGTGTGCGTGCATGTGTCTGTGTGCGTGTGCGTGCATGTGTCTGTGTGCGTGTGCGTGCATGTGTCTGTGTGCGTGTGCGTGCATGTGTCTGTGTGCGCTCGCGCGTGCATGCATGCTTCAATGATTTCAGTCCGCTCCCAAGTGGGAAGGCCGGTTACGAGGTACGCCACTCCTCTACCCCTCCCCCCTTCTCTCTCTCTCTCTCTCTCTCTCTCTCTCTCTCTCTCTCTCTCTCTCTCTCTCTCTCTCTATCTCTCTCTCTCTCTCTCTCTCTCTCTCTCTCTCTCTCTCTCTCTCTCTCTCTCTCTCTCTTCCCAACCCTTGGTCCCATCCCCTCCCCTACTCTCTCTCCTCCCACCAACTCCTCTCCCAGCCCATCCCTTCCGTTCCTCTCCCCCATCCAATGCGCTGCAAGCACCATTGCACGGCCCCTCCAAACACTTGGAATGGAATCGAGCTCTGCCCATGTTGCATTACCCCTTCGGGTTGCATCACCCCTTCAACACCATCCCCTTCAACACCATCCCCCCACCACGCTCCTAAGGGAGCATTGGACGCCAACATTCCACACTCCCTTATTCGCCCGCCTTTACGAATTCTGGCATTCAATCCCCCCTCCTCACCCCCCCAGGGCTCGTCCGAGGAGTACATCGAGGCCAACATCCAGCTCGCCCTCGCGCCCACCCCTCTGCCCCTCTCGTGCGCCCCTCTCCCCTTCTCTCCTCCGCTCCCCTTCTCTCCTCCGCTGCCCTTCTCTCCTCCGGTGCCCCTACCTGTCCCTCCGTCCCCCTTGTCTCCCCCCCCAGGGCTCGTCCGAGGAGTACATCGAGGCGAACATCCAGCTGGCCCTGGCGCTCATCCGCCGGCTGCATGGCGCCACGGGCACCACCGCCAAGATCGTGAGTCGCGTGCCCCTCCACAAGCACATTCAGCCGCGGGCTAGTGAGGTTGTGAGGGAATGCCATGGTTGCTTGAAAGTAAACGACAATCACACCGAAATTTAGAGTCAACACCGGTCAAGCCGGCAAGTCCGCCCTCAAAGCTGCTGCCCTGTGAGTACCATCCAATGTGCTTTCACCTCCCGCCTCCCCTTTCTCTCTTGCTGCTCTTCCGTCTGCTTGTCATCTCCCCGCTTCCTGATGCTCCCTCTTGGCTCTCCGCGTTATCCCACTCCTCAAACTTCCCTCTCCTCCTCCCCCCCCCGTGTCCCCTCCCCTCTCCTGTCTCCATCTCTTCCCTCCCCTCCTCCCTTCCGTCTGCCTGCTTGGATCCCCTCCCCCCCTCTCGTCCTCTCTCCCCAGGTGCTGCCAGACGGGCCTGAGAAACGTCGCTGCTCTCGTCGGTTCAAGGCTGCATTTGACATGGTGAGATGAGATGAAATGGCGAGATAAGAAGGCATGTTGAGGTGAAACGATACGGTGAGATGAAGTGGCACTGCTGGTAGCGTAGTAGGTCACAGCTTTTTTCTTTCTTTCTTTGCTGAAAAGCACTCTCTTTTTAAATACGGTCATCGGGAGCAGTCAACGGATTCAACAGCGTGAACGAAGCCCTTGCTCTTCCGTGCACTGTCCACTTCTCTGATCTTATCTCCTCTTCGCTTACACTCTTGAATTGTCGCACCGCTGTCTAGTGCACAAACCAGTGGTGGTAGGCCAGTCAAACAGAGTCGTTGGGTGGAGCAGTTAGCTTAACGCCTTCCATTCACTTTGGCTTCCACTAATTTGCCTTCCTCCCAGTGTCAGACTCCCGCAGTGTCAGTGAGCTGTCTCGAGGGCGAGCCTATGGCAGTAGGGGCGGTCAACCAAGGTCAACCGAGTCAATGCAGTGGTATCGCGTCAATCGGTCCTTGCAGTGACAGGAACCTATGTCAACCTATCTCCTCCATCTCTGTCATTCCTGACCCTTTCAGACTGACGGCGTCTCTCTGGGTTGCTTGGAGGACGACCCAGTGGCAGCAGGGGGCGAGACAGGGGTGGCCAGCCAAAGTCAGCAGAGCAGCGGTGGTGGCGGTGGCTTCTTCTCGTCGCTCAAGAACGCCCTTGACCTCGACTTTGGCGGGGAGGAGAAAGGTGAGCGCCGCCACCCCTGCCCCTCGGGCCTCGGCGTTGTACCCAACTGCAGCAGCCAAGAGCTGTTGGGTGTTCAGTTGCGTCTCCGCACTCTCCCCCCCTCCCCAGGCGAGTGTCTCAACCCCTGCCCTGCCCCTCGGACCTGTACGTCGTCACCAACTCCACCTGCCAGAAGCTGCCAGCCTCTTTCCCTCCCCCCCTCCTCATTCCCCTGATTCTTTGTTCCCCCGCCTCTCTCTTTACAACCCACCCCTCCCCCCCTCCAGGCGAGTGGCTGATCCCCTGCCGCTCCGACCTCTACGTCATCACCAACTGCAGCTGCCAGGAGCTGCCCGCTGTCGAGCGCTACATGGTAAGTTTGCCAGGGAAGCTCAACCCTTGGCCCCCTATCGCCCCCCTGTTGCCCCACTATTGCCCCCCTACTGTCCCCCTACTGCCCCCTACTGCCCCCCTACTGCCCCCCTACTGCCCCCCTACTGCCCCCTACTGCCCCCCTACTGCCCCCCTACTGCCCCCCTACTGCCCCCCTATTGCCCCCTATTGCCCCCCTACTGCCCCCCTACTTCCCCCCTAGTTCCCCCCAAATGACCAGCTGTTGCCCGCCTATTGCCTCCCAATTGCTCCCCTTTTTCCCCGCTATTGCCCTGCTATGGCCTTGCCTTTCAGTCGAACGGCACAATTTCACTTCTCCCCCCACTCCTGCTGGGCTCCCCCCACTCCTGCTGGCTCCCCCACTCCTGCTGGGCCCCCCCACTCCTGCTGGGCTCCCCCCACTCCTGCTGGGCTCCCCCCACTCCTGCTGGGCTCCCCCCACTCCTGCTGGGCTCCCCCCACTCCTGCTGGGCTCCCCCACTCCTGCTTGGCTCCCCCCCCCCCCCCCCCACTCCTGCTGGGCTCCCCCCACTCCTGCTGGGCTCCCCCCACTCCTGCTGGGCTCCCCCCACTCCTGCTGGGCTCCCCCCACTCCTGCTGGGCTCCCCCCACTCCTGCTGGGCTCCCCCCACTCCTGCTGGGCTCCCCCCACTCCTGCTGGCCCCCCCACTCCTGCTGGGCTCCCCCCACTCCTGCTGGGCTCCCCCCACTCCTGCTGGGCTCCCCCCACTCCTGCTGGGCTCCCCCCACTCCTGCTGGGCTCCCCCCACTCCTGCTGGGCTCCCCCCACTCCTGCTGGGCTCCCCCCACTCCTGCTGGGCTCCCCCCACTCCTGCTGGGCTCCCCCCACTCCTGCTGGCTCCCCCCACTCCTGCTGGGCTCCCCCCACTCCTGCTGGGCTCCCCCCACTCCTGCTGGGCTCCCCCCACTCCTGCTGGGCTCCCCCCACTCCTGCTGGGCTCCCCCACTCCTGCTGGGCTCCCCCCACTCCTGCTGGGCTCCCCCCACTCCTGCTGGGCTCCCCCCACTCCTGCTGGGCTCCCCCCACTCCTGCTGGGCTCCCCCCACTCCTGCTGGGCTCCCCCCACTCCTGCTGGGCTCCCCCACTCCTGCTGGGCTCCCCCACTCCTGCTGGGCTCCCCCCACTCCTGCTGGGCTCCCCCCACTCCTGCTGGGCTCCCCCCCACTCCTGCTGGGCTCCCCCCACTCCTGCTGGGCTCCCCCCACTCCTGCTGGGCTCCCCCCACTCCTGCTGGGCTCCCCCCACTCCTGCTGGGCTCCCCCCACTCCTGCTGGGCTCCCCCCACTCCTGCTGGGCTCCCCCCACTCCTGCTGGGCTCCCCCCACTCCTGCTGGGCTCCCCCCACTCCTGCTGGGCTCCCCCCACTCCTGCTGGGCTCCCCCCACTCCTGCTGGGCTCCCCCCACTCCTGCTGGGCTCCCCCCCACTCCTGCTGGGCTCCCCCCACTCCTGCTGGGCTCCCCCCCACTCCTGCTGGGCTCCCCCCACTCCTGCTGGGCTGCCGTGGGTTTATCTCTATCTGCTCTCACTCACCCCCCTCCCGTCAGCTGTGCTCCAAAACCTTCCCCTCCTGCATGCCCCTCCCGCATGCCCCTCCTGCATGCTCCTCCCGCATGCCCCTCCCGCATGCCCCTCCCGCATTCCCCCCCCGCATTCCCCTCCCGCATTCCCCTCCCGCCTTCCCCGCGTCTCCCCCACCGGCCCCTCCCCCCCCACCTCGCCCACGTCCCCCCTGCAGGAGAAGCTCCCTGCTGGCACTCCAGTGCTGCTGTTCAACCTGGAGCTCGACACCCTCAGGTGATTGCAAAACAGCCAGGAGAAACCAGCAGATGCACTTGCGCAAGCAGGCAGAGAGAGACGTTTATGTAACACCAATCGAACAAGAAACAGTACTTAAAAGTCAACCGGCCATCTTCCTCTGAAATCCCGTTAGCAGTCTCTACACCCACCCTTTTTTCCCCCCTGTTTCTTCAACTCAGAACCCTCTGCACCTTTTGCCCATGCAACCCCTTGTGTGCCCCAGGGATCTCATCACCCCTTCAACTCTCCCATCCCTCCCTAAACTCCCAGCGTCTGCTGCACTCCCTTCTCCCCTTCCCCTCAGGGCCGATCTCGGCCTCCTTTGCGCCCCCCAAAGCACCTCCTGCCCTTCCTCTGCTTCTCACTGCTGTGCTTCTTACAAGCCCATCCCAACCCATCCCAACCCAAGCACTTGCGCTACATCTCCCTCTCTCTAGATCCCTGCCTTGACACTCAACTATTGCCCTCCTCCCCTCCTCTCGTCCTCCCCTCCCCCTCCCTTCAGAGCCGACCTGGGGCTGCTGGGCTTCCCCCCCAAGGACCTGCACTACCGCTTCCTCGCGCAGTTCCTCCCTGTCTTCTACCTCCGCACACGCGACTACTCCAAGGTACGGATTGGGTACTCCCGGGTGCGGATAGCTGCCAAGGTGTGCAAAGAAAACCATGTGTTACCAGCTGCCCATGCCATTACCAGCTGCCCATGGCGTTACCAGCTGCCCATGGCGTTACCAGCTGCCCATGGCGTTACCAGCTGCCCGTGCCTGCCCTGCTCTTTCTCTCCGCTTCCACCCACCGTGTCATCTACCATCAAACCACTACAGATCACAGCAACCCCTCCCAACCCCCAGTTCTCCAGTTTACCCTGCTTTTATTCTTACCCCTCTTCTCTCTCTCCTTCCCTTGCCCCATACGGCTGTGCTGACGTGACTCTGCTGACGTGGCCCTGCTGATGTGGCCCTGCTGGCGTGGCCCTGCTGGCGTGGCCCTGCTGGCGTGGCCCTGCTGACTCCAATCAAACCAATCAGAGTGTGGCTGTAGCCCCGTTTATTCTAAACTACAGTGGAGCGCTCTTCAGAATGTACCCAGGTATGCATTCACTGGATCGCACCCAGTGCACACATTCTATCCCGGTTGACGTGTTCCCGACGTGGAGGGATATGGAAGGGTTCCTCCCCCACCCCATACACATGTGACCCCTGTTGGCATGCGCTCTGCCATCACTCCAAGTCCATAGCGATAAAAACTACCCATATCTAACAAGCACCATGCACCATAACCTGCACCAGCCCACGTGCACCATGCGTGCATGTGTGTTTGTGTGATGGGGCATGAATGCGCCTGAGCGTGCATGTGTGCAGTCCTCTTTCCTTCCTCTCCCGCCTCCTCTCTCAGTCCCCAATGGACCATACATGTGTGCCTCAATGTGTAAGCCTGCAATCCTCTTTCTCCTCCCTTACTACCCCCCCCCCCCCCCCATCCCCCCCCACCCTCCCTTCTCTACGCGCCGTGGCAAGTGATGCTGAAGCATGAGTACAACCGGTTCTATGTGCGTGCGTGCGTGTGTCTGGGAGTGCACACGCTCAATCCACTGTCGCATCCCTTGCATCCCTTGCATCCCTTGCATCCCTTGCATCCCTTGCATCCCTTGCATCCCTTGCATCCCTCGTCTCCCCTCTCCTAACCTCCCCAACCCCTCCTCGCCCCCCGCCCCGTCATGTCGCAGCGCCCTGGCAGGTGATGCTGAAGCAGGAGCGCACCGGCTCCTACGTGTGTGTGGCGGAGGGCCCGCAGCGATTTGCCCTGGGAGAGGTGAGCTGCGCACATTCGAAGAGCACTTTGATCGGCATGGCCGCCAGCCAGTGCTGCATGGCTTTCGGCGCTGCATGGCCTCCAGCGCTGCATGGCAGCCAGTGCTGCATGGCCGTTGGTGCTCTTGGCCCTGTGTGCCTCAATCAAACCACTCTCCCTGCCCCTGTGTGCCTCAAACCACTCTCCCTGCCCCTGTGTGCCTCAAACCACTCTCCCTGCCCCTGTGTGCCTCAAACCACTCTCCCTGCCCGTGTGTGCCTCAACTCACTCTCCCTGCCCGTGTGTGCCTCAACTCACTCTCCCTGCCCGTGTGTGCCTCAACTCACTCTCCCTGCCCCTGTGTGCCTCAACTCACTCTCCCTGCCCGTGTGTGCCTCAACTCACTCTCCCTGCCCGTGTGTGCCTCAACTCACTCTCCCTGCCCCTGTGTGCCTCAACTCACTCTCCCTGCCCGTGTGCCTCAACTCACTCTCCCTGCCCGTGTGTGCCTCAACTCACTCTCCCTGCCCGTGTGTGCCTCAACTCACTCTCCCTGCCCTGTGTGCCTCAACTCACTCTCCCTGCCCGTGTGCCTCAACTCACTCTCCCTGCCCGTGTGTGCCTCAACTCACTCTCCCTGCCCGTGTGTGCCTCAACTCACTCTCCCTGTCCGTGTGCCTCAACTCACTCTCCCTGCCTGTGTGTGCCTCAACTCACTCTCCCTGCCCGTGTGTGCCTCAACTCACTCTCCCTGCCCGTGTGCCTCCCGCTGAAAGATTTCCCCCCTTGCCGCGGCCCGACTTCCCCCTCCCATGCAGAGGTGAAGACGGATGTGCAGCAGTCGCTGGGTGCGTTCAGGTGTCTCAAACCTCACTCCCTGCATTGGTTTCCCCCTCCCCTCACCGACTTCTCCCCCACCCCCGTCTCCCTCCACCCCGGCCCCTCCCAAACCCAAGTGGAGGAGGAGCTTTCAGTGGTCACTGGGTTCTTCGACACCCCACTGAGCACTCTTCCTGCGGCTGTTGCCCCGCCCGCCCATGTTCCCCACCCCACCCCACCCCACCCCACCGCACCCCACCCCATCCCACCCCATCCCGCTCCACCCCCAGGTGAAGGAGGAGCTGCAGCGGTCGTTGGGGCTGGAAGACGAGGAGGGGTCCACCATGCAGTTCCTGCGGCGGGGGTACAAGGTGAGGGGGGAGGGATGTGTGCTAGATGGGGAATTAAAGCGGCGTGCAGGGTGAGAAGGAGCAAGACTTGAGGTGAGGGTGGCAGCGCTGGAAGGAGAGGAGGGCTCCACCGTGCCGTTCCTCAGACGCGGGTACAAGGTGAGGCACGAGGAGGGGTGCAAGGTGAGAAGCAAGGGTGCAAGGCCCAACGCTTGCATGTGCTTGACTGAGACGGGCTGCAGGGGCAGGAGTGATGCTACAAGGGGAATGAAAGGTCCTGCAGGGGCAGGAGTGAGGACAGGGTTACCAGGTGAGGCGCAGCAGAGGGTGATGGTTCAGGGGGTGCAGAGGTACCGTAACCCCCCGCATATATCACCCACCGGAATAGCAGTCCATGGGTCCTTTGGACGGACACTGGGACGCTTATTTTGACAGAATCTGTGAGGACCCCCATTTTGGTATTAGTCATTTTACGACCCCCTTTTGACGGTTCACTGTTTACTAAGTGCTCATCACTAAGTGCTCTTCACTATTTCCAGCCGTATAAACGCACATCACAAAAAATTGATTGAATTTTCCAGGAGTCCCTAGGGTGATATATGCGGGGGGTTACGGTATATGGTTCAGGGGGTGCAGAGGTATATTGGAGCCAGGGAGTATAAGGAGAGGGCATTCGTGCTTTGAGAAGTGCTGGCTTTGGAATCTGTGTGTGTGGCATCATTGTGCTGTGCTGACGTTGCACCTTCCATTGTGTGCAGACCACAACGTGGTGGGAAGAGAAGTCGGAGCAAGAGCAGTCCACGCAATGGAGAAGCTGAGCAACCTATCGCCTTTCTTGTGTTCTTCCAACTGGTGTGCTGCTGAGTCCTGCCATAAAGTCATTTGTTTTTCATTACTGATGAGTTAGAACGATCTGTAGGAAGTCCCTGATATGGTAATAAAAAGCACACACAATCAACCACCTGTTCAAGTGAACGAATGGCTAGAACAAGGCACAAAAGGGAATATAACCTAATGGGTTGTACTCCTTAAGGTACAACCCTAATTAGCCTACAAAAACATACAGTAAGTATTTGACACACCCCCTAAACTGGATAGGGGCAGTGCTCGATGAGAGAGAAACAGCTCAGGGTGGTACTAATAGTCCAGCCTCTGAGGCAGGGGTCTAAAGAAAAGTCAAACAAGTACAGACAAGACAAGAGCAAGACCAGGGTGGCACTACTAGTCCAACCACTGGGAAGAGGCCACAAGGCCACTCAGGGTAATATATATAAAGTTCTATACACAATCAAGGCCCTAGCAAGTGAGGCTACAGGTCTTCGAACTGAACAATCGAATGAATAGCGAACATGGGTACAAGGATATATGTCTAAGGGTTGTACTCTCTAAGAGGCGACCCTATACAGTCTATACAAACATTAGAGATACAAATGTTTGACACACCCCCTAGACTGCATAGGGGCAGTTCCTGAACAAGCAGCTCAGGGCGGCACTACTAGTCCAGCCACTGAGATAAGGGCCACTGGGATTTATTGACAAGGAGTACAGACAAGGCAAGAACAAGACCAGAGCGGCACTACTAGTCCAGCCACAAGGAGAGGACACAAGTCCAGTCTGAGTAAATATATATAAAGGACAGTACAAAGTCAAGGCCCTAGCAAGTGAGAGGCTACAGGAACTACACCGAGCTGTATACAGTGCCGCTGATGATCTTTAGGCGCAAGCGCCTTTGTAAAGATATCAGCTGTCTTGGCACCTGAGGCCAAGTGTACTACGCGAGCCTGGCGGCGCTGCTGTAGCTCGCGCAGGAGGAAGTACCGCAGCTGGATATGCTTCGCTCTGCCCTCTAGTCGAGGCTCTTGACACAGGAGGATCATGGCCCTGTTGTCAGCGTACAGGACCGGGGCAGAGCTAGGCCGCTCACCTAAGTCAGTGAGCAAGATGGTCAGCCAGCGGAGCTCCTGTGCCGCCATGGCACCGGCGTAGATCTCAGCCCCACAGCTAGACTGGGCAATAGACGAGGAGCGGTAGCTCTCCAAGAGACGGCACCTGAACCAAGGCTGAAGCAGTAGCCCTGGGAAGACCTGAGCGTCTCGGCGTCGTCCGCCCAAGAAGCGTCTGAGTGTCCGGTAAGGACGACTGGCCTGCGTCCTCCTAGCACTAACCCCATGCCCGATGTACTTGCGAGATAACGCAAAACCCTCTTAGCGGCAGACCTGTGTTGAGGTCGGTGTCTACCTGTGGCCACAAAGCGAGCCAGGATGCTGAGAGGGTATGCAAGATCTGGGCGAGTGCAAGTCATCAGGTACAAGAGGCAACCCACCAGGGCCACTGGGATCTACTGACTCCTCAGGAACTGGAGCGGAGAGTCTGTGGTCTACAGGCAGAGGGGTGGGCTGTGTAGAGGAGAACTGAAGGCCGAACCTCTGAAGGACCTGGCGGACCAAGTGTGACTGAGTCAAAGTGATGGTGCGCGCAGCTCTATCCCTGGAGATCTGCAAACCAAGGTAACGGCGCAGTTCTCCAAGGTCAGTGCAAGTGTGTCTCTTCAGCAGCTATGCCTTTACGGAGGCCAGTGCGTCCGTGTCTGCTGTGGCAAAGACCTGATCATCCACGTAAACGAGGATGTAGAGCGGAGTCTGGCCAGCACGAATGAAGAGTGAGGGGTCTGCGGAGGACGGAAAGAACTGCAGGTCAGCAAGGGTAGCACGCAGCGTGTCGTGCCACTCACGGGGAGCCTGCCGCAGGCCGTAGACGGGACGCCGCAGGAGCCACTGGGTCCCAGGAGGGAAGGTGCCAGTGAACCCCTGAGGGCGACGCAGGTAGACCTGCTCGTGTAGGCTGCCCTGAAGGAACGCAGTGGAGAAGTCGAGGGAGTAAAGCTCGTAGTCACGCTGAGCAGCTACGTGTAGCAGCACCCGAAGAGTAGTCATCTTCGGGGTCGGAGCGAAGGTCTGGAAGAAGTCCACCCCCTCACGCTGACTAAAGCCTCTAGCCACGTAGCGCGCCTTGAACACAGTCGGCTCTTCAGGAGGGCGCTTCACCTTGAAGAGCCAGCGGCCATCGACTACGTTCACCCCAGGTGGGGGAACTGCGTCAACGTAGGTGCCGGTGGATCTCCAAGATGCCATCTCCTGCTCCATGGCAGCTATCCACTGAGAGGCCCAGGGACCTGAGGTCGCCTCAGCGTAAGTGCAAGGGGTCGGGATGTCGAAAGAGTCTGGGTCACCCTCAGGGACTAGCAGCATGGAACAGAGATGGGGAGCAGCCTCGGACAGGAAAGCAAGCTCGAACTGGCGGTCCTCCAGGGCGTCACTGCCGAGGGCAGGAGCACCCCCGACAGACGGAGGACAGGCAGGGTCAGAGACCAGAGCGGTGGCATAGTCAAGGCTGCAGGTAGAGGCGAAGTCAGCGACCGCAGCGACAAGAGCATCAAGACACGAGACCGGAACGGACGGGTCGGTAATGAGAGAGGTGAGGACCCGAGGAACAAGAGGACGAGCGGCACGAAGGTAGTCAGACAGAGGAGGAAGCGCAACGGTAAGAGAGGACGGAGGAGGCGACGGTAGAAGGGGAGGACGAGACGCGTGGGAACGGAGCAACATAGGATGAGAGCGCGTGACAGGGGAGACAGGACGAGCGCGGGAGGGACGGCGGGACCAGACATGAGACGGAGGCGTCGGGCCAGGAGACAGAGGAGGGGACACAAGAGGGGAGCGAGGAGGAAGATGACCCGGGGACGAGTCCGGCGGAGGGAACACAGGGCTGTAGACAGGAGGAGGAGGAGATGGCAGGAGAGGAACAGCCGCAGGGTCAGGGGACAGAAGGCCGAGCAGGCAAAGGGCGGACACCGGCGGGGACTGCTGCTGCGGGGGCACACTAGCGATACCGGTACCGCAAGCTGCTCCTCGGCTACCTCCGGGACACTCCACTCCTGCACCCCCAGAAGGAACACCCCCAGAGCCCGAAACCCCTCGAGCACCGGTACCACCCCCAGGGCCACCGGGATAGGCCACGACAAGAACCCCAGGACTAGCCCCCACCCCAACACGAGCACCCCCAGAGTCGACGAACTGCTGCTGCGACGGCGGCGGCGGAGACGACGGCTGCGACAGCAGAGGCGACGGTGGCTGCAGAGGCGGTGGAGGAGGAGACATCGGGGGAGGGGCAGACGGCGAGGACTGCGCCGCAGGACCACCAGAGTCAGAAGACTCCTCGACCGGGACAACCGACGGGAGAGGGGTGACGTAGGACACACCAGAGGGGGCAGGACGGGGAGGGGGAGGTGGGGGGGCAGGGACCACCAGGGAAGGAGTGACCAAGAACAGGGGGGGAGTAACAGGGGGACCACGGTGGGGGAAGCGACGGTAGAAGGAGACGGACTTGTCAAATGTGACGGCGCGAGAGTGAAAGAACCGGTGACACGGCGGGTGGTAGAAGTGCCAGTCGGACGCGTCAAGGGGGAAACCGAGGAAGACACAGGGAAGGGTGCGGGCAGTGAGCTTGTCTGTGCCGGAGGCACGAACGTGAGCAAGGCAGCCCCAGACGTGGAACGCTGACGTGTCACCAGGAGACCCGGTCCAAAGAAGGGTCGGCAAAACCTGCGGCCGCTGGGGGTGCGGCCACAGGTTAAGCTGGTGAGCAGCGTAGCGCACGGCGAACGGCCACAGAAAATGGGGTGCACCGACATGGATCATGGAGGTGCGAGCCACCTCCATGACCAAACCGATGCATCGCTCAGCGACCCCATTATGCTGTGGGCAGTCTGGCAGGGTGAACGTCTGGGTGATGCCCTCCGCACGACAGAAGCGACCAAGGACACCTGAGGCAAACTCGCCACCACGGTCTGAGTGAAGACGCAAGACAGGGAGACCTCGGTGGACACGCGCAAAGACTAGCCAGGGGATGAGAGCGTCAGGCACGTCGGCCTTTCGCTCCAGGGGAAAAACTGTGGTGTAGCGAGTGAAGTCGTCGACAAGCACGAAGAAGTAGCGCTCTCGACGCGGCCCATGGACGGGGGCGGGGCCCCAGACGTCCATGTGCAGGGTCTGCAGCGGCGCGGTGGTAGGGGGAAATGAGGAGGAGTGAGGGGCATGGCGAAGCCGACCCTCGACACAAAGCGTGCACTGTGGGGCGGGGGAGGAGGGAAAAGCGGGAAACGAACCAGGGAGTCCAAGGACGAGACCGTGCTGGGACATGTGACGCAGACGCGGGAGCGCAGGGTGACCTAGGCGGTGGTGCCAAAGAAAAGACTGGTGAGTGAGGGACCGACAGGAGCAGGCAGCAGCAACATGGGAAGACGCAGCCACCTGAGGGGGCGCCCCACCCGGGGGGGGCACGGTGTCCATAGTGAACAGGCCGGATACCGGGTCCCGGGGGAACGTGGAAAGGGGGGCACCAGTGGCGGCCTCGGTACAGACAGCATACCGCTTGTGACCAGGGAACGTAGTGGTGACGCCAAGGTCCTGGAGGCAGCCGACACCAACTAGTTTGCTGGAGAACGAGGGGATATGCAGACCTGTGAGGGAGCCCGAAGGAACCGCCGGACAGGGAAGTGTAGTGGAACTGCGGGCGACAACTGGACCGCCGGAGGGGTCAGCAAGGGAAACTGCAGCAGGAACAGGAAGCGGCGTCAGCGTAGTAGAGTCGCGGAAGAAACACCGGGAAGCGCCAGCGTCCAAGGTGAAGGAAAGCGCAGCAGTGGCGTCTGGCGACTGGGCAACGACGGAGGCAACAAGGCAGGAGCTCCTACGTCTGACGCAGCAGGGGAGGCTAAGCTAGGCACACCTACACTAGGTGACAAGGAGTAATAAGAGGGTAGCACACTAGAGTCATCAACATACATCACATGCAGGGCAGCAACAATGGCATCAATGTCCATGTCAAAAATCTGAACTCTACGACTAAGCAAACTGTGCCAGTCCGGGAGGTCGTGCGACGGGCCGAAGCGCTGACG